TTGTCCCAAACAGATAATTGAAGGTGTAAAATGGTCATGGAAGAGTCAACATCATCTTCTGGAGCTATGATTATGCTCACGGCTACCAACTATACGCTGTGGAAACCTCGGATGAAAGATTTCCTCAGCTGTAAAGAGCTCTTTGACCCAAAAGAGCTTAAGGGTATTAACCCTGATCCGTCCAAGGCATTAGAATGGAGGAAAATCAATAGAAAAACTATTGGTCAAATCCGACAATGGATTGATCATAGTGTCTTCAATCATGTTGCACAAGAAACCGACGCATATGTCCTTTGGAGGAAGCTGGAGGACATGTACCAGGCCAAGACTTCTCAGAATAAGGCCTTATTAATGAGGCGCTTAGTCAAAATGAAGTTGAAAAGTGGAACTTCTGTTGCCGAGCATACCAGTGAGTTCCAGAGCCTAGTAAATCAACTATCTTATGTGGAGATGCCGCTTGGAGATGAAATGCAATCTCTGCTACTTCTTAGTTCCCTTCCTGATAGCTGGGAAACACTCGTTGTTACTCTCAACAATTCAGCCTCAAACGGTAAACTTTTCATGTCCGTTGTCAAAGATGCCTTATTCAATGAAGAGGCAAGAAGGAAAGACATGAGAACATATCAGACTCATACCCTTGTGATGGAGAATCGAGGAAGACCACAAGGCAAGCAACAAAGAATAGTTCTCAGCAGAAGAACAAGGGCAAAGGTGGTGAACTCTTGTCACTGTCTCAGGTGATGTAGCATATTGCTCTAACCATGGTGAGACATGTCTTCATGTCTCAAGAGAAGACATTGAATGGGTCGTAAATACTGCAGCGTCCTATCACGTTACTCCCAACAGGAAATACTTCACAACATACCAAGCTGGAGACTTTGGATCGGTGAAGATGGGAAATTCCAGTTCCTTTGAAATTGCTGGAATTGGTGATATCCAGGCAACGACAGGAACCGGGAGTACAATACTATTGAAGGATGCCAGACATGTGTCGGATCTTAGGTTGAATCTTTTGTCAGTGGTGGCTCTTGACAAAGAAGGATATGAAAGTCATTTTGACGTAGGCACATGGAAGTTGTCAAAGGGTGTTTTGAAAATTGCCCGAGGACATGTTTGTGGGACGCTGTACAAAACACACTTGAAGATCAGTACAGAAAGCCTCAATGTTGCAGAGGAGGTTTCTCAGGATCTATGGCACCAGAGACTTGGCCATATGAGTGAGAAAGGGTTGACTACCCTAATGAAGAAGGATCTTATCAAGGTTGATAAGAGTGCGACGATGGGTTCTTGCAGTCATTGCCTGTTCAGCAAGCAGCATAGAGTCTCATTCAATGCCAGTTCAACAAAGAGATCAGAGTTGTTAAGCTTGGTACACTCTGATGATTGCGGTCCCATGGAGATTGAATCACTAGGTGGAAGCAGATATTTTCTGACTTTCATTGATGATGCTTCTCGAAAGGTGTGGGTATATTTCCTGAATACGAAGGACCAGGTGTTTGAGTACTTCAAGTCATTTCACGTCATGGTAGAACGTGAAACAAGAAAGAAGCTGAAATGTCTCCGATCTGATAATGGAGGAGAGTATACTTCCAAGGAGTTCAATGCATATTGCACGACATATGGCATTCGACATGAGAAGTCAGTACCACGTACCCCTCAGCACAACGACGTTGCTGAAAGAATGAATCGGACTATCATGGAGCGTGTCCAAAGCATGATGAATATGGCTAAATTACCAAAGCCATTTTGGGGAGAAGCTGTCAAGACCGCATGTTATCTAATCAACCGATTACCATCAGTTCCATTAAATTTTGAAGTTCCAGAGAGAATATGGATTGATAAGGATCCGACATACTCACATCCTATAGTATTTGGTTGTGTAGCATATGTACATGTATCCAAAGAGCTCAGAAAGAAGCTCGATGCGAGGTCCATCCCATGCATTTTCATTGGTTATGGAGATGAAGAGTTTGAATACAGATTTTGGGATCCAAAGGAGAAAAAGGTGATCAGAAGTAGGGACGTTGTGTTCCAAGAAAATTTGACAATAGAAGATATCGAAAAGCCCAAGATATCTCAAAAGTCAAATGTGGGAGCTCAAGTTTCAAATGAAGCACCAGAGTTGTTCTGGAGAAACAATGAAGATGATGTACAAGAAGAAGAGGAGGAGACAGAAGAGAGTGCAGAGCAAGGGGAGCAACAACCCATCTTGCCAAAAAGCAAGGGGAGCCATAACCTATTTTGCCAGACACCAATGTCGGAAGTTCTTCTCAGATGGTTCTACCCTCTCGTAGATCTGAACGGGTCATATACCATCAAAAAGGTACTCATCATCTGAATACCTTCTATTGACAGAAGATGGAGAACCAGAGAGTTTTCAAGAAGCCATATCTCATAAGGATAAAGAAAAATGGATGACTGCAATGCAGGAAGAGTTAGATTCTCTGTAGAAAAATCAAATCTATGAGATAGTTAAACTTCCAGAAGGGAAAAAGGCTTTGAAAAACAAATTGGTGTTCAAGCTGAAGAAGGATGCAAATAGACAAGTGGTGAAACACAAAGCTCGATTGGTTGTCAGAGGCTTTCAGCAGAAGAAAGGGATTGATTTTGACGAGATGTTTGCACCAGTTGTCAAGATGACATCAATTCAAGTCATACTTGGTTTGGCAACAAGTATGAATTTGGAGCTTGAACAGATGGATGTGAAGACAACTTTTCTTCACGGAGATTTGGAAGAAGAAATCTATATGCAGCAGCCATAAGGTTTTGAGGTTTCATGTGAGAACCTCGTGTGCAAGCTATCTAAAAGCTGGTATGGTCTGAATCAAGCACCAAGGCAGTGGAATAAGAAGTTTGACTCATGCATAAAGAGTCAAGGTTACAAGAAGACTGCTGCAGATGAGTGTGTTTACATCAAGAGATACTCAAACAGGGCTTTCATAGTTCTTCTACTGTACGTCGACGACATGTTGATCGTCGGGAATGATGCAGAGAAGATAAGTCAGCTGAAGAAAGAACTTTCCAAGTCTTTTGATATGAAAGATTTAGGAAAGGCTCAATAGATTCTTGGGATGCAGATTACTCGAGACCGAGAGAACGACAAGTTATGGCTATCTCAAGAGAAGTATATTGAACGAGTACTTGAAAGATTCAATATGAGTGATGCCAAACCAGTGGGTATTCCACTTGCTAATCATTTCAAGTTGAGCAGGAGATCATGTCCCACATCCAAGGAAAAGATGGGGAAAATGTCTGCAGTACCATACTTTTCAGCAGTTGGAAGTCTGATGTATGCAATGGTATGTACAAGGCCAGATATTGCTCATGCAGTGGGTGTAGTGAGTCATTTTCTTTCTAACCCCGGGAAGGAGCATTGGGAGGCAGTCAAATGGATTCTCAGATACTTGAAGGGTACTTCTAAGTTATGTCTTTGTTACGGGGGAGCTGATCCAGTCTTGGAAGGATATACTGATGCTGATATGGCCGGAGATATTGATTGTCGAAAGTCTACTTCGGGTTATATCTACAATTTTGCAGGGAGAGCTATTTCTTGGCAATCAAGATTGCAGAAGTGTGTTGCTTTATCCACAACAGAAGCTGAATATATTGTTGCCGCTAAAGTTGGTAAAGAAATGTTGTGGCTAAAGCGCTATCTCCATGAACTTGGGATCAAGCAGAAAAAGTATAAGGTATATTGTGATAGTCAAAGTGCTATTGACTTAAGCAAGAACTCTATGTACCATGCCTGCACAAAGCATATTGATGTTCGGTATCACTGGATACGCGAGAAGATTAATCAACAACTGTTGAAACTAGTGAAGATCAATACGAAAGAGAATCCATCAGATATGTTGACAAAAGTGGTCACACTGGATAAGCTTAAGCTAGAGACATAGTAGGAATGCTTGTTCAGAACTTGCATGGAAATGGGAGAATTGAAAGTTCCATGCAAGAACACCAATGTTGAATTCTCCATTGGTGTGCCATCTTCCTTCCACCTACCTTCATTCATCCATGCAAGTCCACCATTGAAGAAGTCCTCCACCAAACCTTCCTCATTCACACCATTTTGTCAATAATGGTGTGTCTTCTTGTATCTATAAATAGGGTGTTTATTTCATTCATTCAAATCATCCTAGAGAGTGATCAATCAACCTTGAGAGTGTTGAAACACAACCAATAAAGAATGTGGAGAGTTTGAGAGTTTTTTGTTTAGAGTTTATAAATCTCTTGTGTTTTTATTCTTGTGAATTATAGAAACTTATTTTTCTCTCAAATTATGCTTTTGATCTTGGGATGATACCACAACATAGACTAGGAGAGAATTCGAGTTGAAGAAGTCCAAGTTGTATTTTAATGCGCGCAGCCGATCTATTAATAAAATAGTCCTAAGGAGTAGGAGGACGCTCCACAAGGAGATTTTTAAGTATAGTTGATTCTGCTTTTAATTTTGGTGTTCAAACACACCTTACGTACTTTATTTTACTCCCTTACCTCCATTTCATAATGTATTGACACAAATAATTCAATATTAATCTTTTGTCATAAATATGATTTGAAATCGATACACCCATAGACATGCAACTACGAAATTTATTGCCTTCAAATGTGCCAACTATAAATCTTAACTAGGATCACTATATGTAGTTATATTTATAAGTATTTAATTTGATCATGAATCTTTCAGGAAGAGTCAAAATGCAAAATAACAATGGTCTATATGACCCAAGGACATAAAGCAGACAATATCAGTATCACCATAAAGATAGCTAACCTTTTCATTTATACAGAATTTTTTGGTCCGGTCTTTATTTTTTATGTTCAAATAAATACATTAAAACCTACGAAATATCTGATTAGATATCGACGCTAGCATGAGTATGATCCATGTTTCAATTGATGTAGCTGCAAAACAGCAAATCCTGGCCATGCTCCAATAGCTAATACAAAAAGATGGATGTCAAAAAACAGTCCAAAATCCTAAACAAATATATAGTTCTCTAAGCCTTTCCAATGAACTCCACATCGAATAACAGAACTGAATCAGGCGGGATAATGCATGATCCTGCACCAGTAATACACTCAATTCATATATAAATTCAGAAACTTTATACAAATAAAATTCCTCTTCCAAAAATACTAATAGCTCATCGAGATTCTAATGTCATGCTATTGCCTATGCATTGCTCCCTCTCGAATGGGAAAATAATGTCAAGTTTAGGAAATATAAAGAAGTGGCAGCAGAGTTTTCGAGAAATAGTTGGAGTCTTTTAGTAATATGACTAAATCTTGGTTGAAAAGATAGTTTGACTAGACAACGATGCGCAACTTGGTGGTAAGACGCTTCACCTATGACCTATCAGTCATGGGTTCGAGTCCCTGAGGAGGGAAAGTGGAAATACTATTGATCCTCCTTTAGAAATGAATAAAAAAAAGATAGTTTGACTATATACCTCCTCTACAGCCTGCTCCCCTTGCACCATATGCAAGTTGAGGAGGGATTTTCAGTTGTCGTTTTCCTCCTACAATTGATCCAATAGCATAAACGTTACAAACTACTGCAGCTAAGGTGAGATGAAATTAATCCATATTTCTTTCCCAAAGGAACTACGAATCATATTTTACCAGCAAGCATGGCTGGAACTCCATCTCCGCCTACAATTCCCTCGTCCCATCCTTTGATCACCTACATTATACACAAATTAACAAACACACACACACACACACACACACACACACACACACACACAATACATATAGACATTGTAAAAAGTTTATCCAGGTTCATGATGTTTGTATGTGTATATGTCCATTTAAGTCAGATTTGCATAAGCCTACACCTTAAAACCCGATGAATATATAGTTTGATGTTGTAACTGACAAATATCAATCACAACTTAAACCTGTTTTTCTTCTCTCTGAAATGTGTTCATCTTAAAATAACTTGAATAATTTTACAACAATCACCACATGGAAAGCATTACATGGGACTCATTTAGTACTATTCCTCAATCAGAAAGCACAACACACTAATTGGATAGCACTAGTATAATGACATTGTTCCCACCTTATAAAAGATATGCTAGTAACATATACAAAATATCTTTATGCGTACTCTAGTTACACGGAAGCTCTAGAAAAGCCTAATGATCAACAAGCACTCATTTGCATTAGTTGAGCTTCAGTCCAATGCTACTACGATTATTTAGAAATGAGCTTGCTCCGCATGTTTGTGTGGACTTTAGTTTTGGACGGTTAAACTATTGTAATTTTAAATAATTTTTTTTCTGACTAATAAATAAACCCCTGAACCGGGCCATGTGCAAATGACATAACTCTAGCATTAAGTGTAATATAAATTAGATGGGACACCATACAAGCATGAAATATCTGATGATCAATACTAGGAAAAGTAGATCATCCACAATGTGAAACACACAATTTACCTTTTTTTTGGAAAGAACAACATCTGACCATAAGAGTATGTAATTTCTTACCATAAACCGCCTGAACGATTCTGCACAGTTTTCGTTTAGGCCATAGAGAAACAATGCATGTTGTGTTTAGCCATATGAATAGGCAATGTAAATCAGCCATAATCCCTCTTTTTCCATCTTAATATTGTGCATTGAATTGATATACTTGATAAAATAAAGGACGAGATATCCAATAAAAATATGAGATACAAAATCACAATTGTAATTCAGGGAAATGCTACGGTCTCGTTACAGAACCATTCTGTCGAGATTTGTAACCGTCGGGAATAGTTGATCTAATGGTTACAAAACCCGACGGAATAGTTCCGTAACTGGACCTTATCATCTCCCTGTAATTTATATCACATACCTCGCCAACACCAACACGGAAAGTGAGAGGCTTTCCCCTATTGTAGCTGCTATCAAACACCGTCCCGTTTTCCAGCCTCCCCACATAATGTGCCTGCCCAAAATCACCAAATTCAAATCAATGCTAAAAATTATTAGAAATTTGGAATCCAATATCACAATTCTTCTCAAAAGGCAACGGAATTTGAAAAAAAAAAAAAATGGATTACCTTAATCAGCTGGCCTTTAGTAGCTTCGGGTCCGGTACCGATAACCTTGTCGCAGAACGCCAGCCCCGACGGAGCCGCCGTTAACTCGCACGGGTCGGCGGCGGCGGCGCCTCTATCGGCCGCCGCAGGCTCCGGCAGAGGGTTAAGAAGCGGAAGGAAGCTGAAGCCGAGGCCGGTACCAACGGCAATTGTTTCTCTTCTGTTTAAGAAAGGCGAATTCGTTTTGAAATGCTTGCTTCCGTTGAATTTGACGGCGTAGAATTTGTTCGGCAATCCTGATAGGGTTGTGAGATTATTGGAGGGAGTGTGCGCGCCGATTGAAAATGGAAGTGAGATCATTTTCAACTAATGGGCGAGCAGCCACAGAACCTGAACGAGATAAAACCAGGATCATATGTCTGGATAACATTGTTTTTGTTCAGCCGCTGAAAATGTACGATAAAAATCGAGAATATTCGTTTCGGAATTCGAGTGACATTTAAAGACTTTTTAAGATTTAAGATTTTTGAGGATTTTCAGATTTTAAAAGAATTCTATAAAATACCAAGTCTAAAGGTGGGATTTGTAGTGGGATTTCCTACATGTTTTTTTCTTTAGAAATCCCAGCAAATCTTAAAAAGTCCTTATAAATCCTAACCTTAAATTAGTTAAATACACCTGGATTTCGTAAGACTTTTTAAAATCCTAATTGAATACCTCAAGACTTTTAAAAACCTTGAAAAATCTAAATTAAATACATCAGGATTTCTAAAGTCCTAAAAAGTTTTTAAAAGTCTTTATAAATCTCAATTAAATACACCCCCTTTAGTCCGTTTTGCTATGGAGTCATCAGATGACTCGGCTTATGGAGTCATTCATAGTTATCCATATTGACACGTGTCCTGCAAGAAATATACATTGAACACGTGTCAATACATAAATTTATGGATGTCTCCATAAGGGGACCATCTAATGGTTTCATAGCATTTCTGATTTTCGGTTTATTATTGTTTATGTTGTTTCTAACGTTGCAAAAAACAGTGCTCAATTTGTTTCTAGCAGTAATGCTCCTCTACCTACGGTTGACACATGTTAATATGACCACCACTTATGTGGTATGGACGTATTGTTGATCTATTTTTTTCTAACATATTAACATCATCAATGGTGTGCATGCCAAATGGTGTGCATGTCACATAAGCGGTGAACATATTAACATGTGTCCACCGTAGGTAGGGGAGCATTACTGTTGTTTTTAGCGCATAACTAGAGCAATTTGTGACCCTCTTTTTAAAGCATAACATATTGGTTGACTATTTTCTCTCTATCTCATTGTATAAATGTCGCATATTCATACATAACTATCGCATAATTGTGATATTTCTCTAGTTATGCGTGGATACGCGACAATTATATAGTCGGTTCGCATCATTTTTCGCACTTTCTGTAGTGAAAAACTAATTTGTCAGTAAACAGTGTGAAAAACATAATATAACTCCATAAGGGGACGAGAAGAAAAACTATTTTCACTTACACTTTTATGTATGAGTTGGGCATTTGCAGGGATTGGGCCTCAACTTGGTTCTGTGTCTAAAATTTATTGTAGATCATGTTTTAATTATACTATACGTGGAACTTGCTCGCCATCTTTAAATTCATAAAAAAAATAAAAAATAAAATAAAATCTATCTATCACTGCATCTTTGGGTAACCCAAAAAAAAAAAAAAAAAAAATCCTCAAAGCCCACAAATTTGAGCACGGTAGTCGCTCAGACAGCCGTAAATCCCAAAAGTTTTCACAAAATAACTCAAAGAATAGAGAAAGTACATTATGAGCATTTTTATATATCCATGACCAGAATATATACCATAAGTGGGCCTAAACACACAGATTCTCTGTATAAATCATAGGTACACCAAATTCGAGCTGTTTATTGCAAATTTGCAGTCGTAAAACTGGTTCCACCAACTAAAGAGAACCACCTCGCAAAGCAAGGACCAAGTGAAGAACAGAGCCACCTTCAATATTGTAGTCTTTGGCAATTTTGTCATCCCTCAGCTGCTTGCCAGCATAACTCAGCCTGTCACACAAACAATACACCATCATTACCGATTTAAGGGAACTACAAGATTTCTCCTCAACCCCCTCCTTAATCCGGTCAATAGTATCCGTTGGCTCGATATCGATCTCGATCTCTTTCCCTGTAAGGGTCTTAACCTTAATCATGGTACCACCCCTAAGTCTCAAAACAAGGTGAAGTGTGGATTCTTTCTGGACATTGTAATCTGCCAGGGTTCTGCCATCTTCCAGCTGTTTACCCGCAAATATTAGTCTCTGCTGGTCAGGGGGTATGCCTTCTTTGTCCTATGAGCACGTTTGTTAGTCTTTATGTCAGTCTCGGTCAGATGATTTGGATACGAAAAATCGACACAAGACCTGAACTTTTAACAGTTTGTTTGTGCACAGAAGTTCACTATACTTGACCTTTATTTGTCATGGAAAAACCATCATGAAACATTGTTAATTTCTTTGTAGCTAAACTGATTGCAAAATTGAGGGAATATAAGGGGAAACATCATCATCGAAATCACGAAACAATAAACTTCATACAAACACACTAGTATTCAATAGTTGATATTTTCTTGTTTATTTATCGCTCGACTTTGTACAAACATAGCCAAAACCCAGTTTCGGGTCGAAACTGTTGATTTCGGGCCTGCGTTATGGGGCCTGTAATGTTCCAGGAACATATACTGGTCGGTTTAGTGAATCTGCTATTTCGAGTCGTTTTATGAACGGTCTGTTTTGAGTTGGTCCGGTTTATTAAAAATAATAAGTCAAACAGTCGGTTTCGGTTCGTGTTCGAAACCAGAAAACTTGAAGTAGAATCGACCAGGCTAAAATTGCGAGCCGGACCAGCATGCCAATTTGGGCCAAGATCATGTCTAATGTGAGCATCGGAAAGGAAAATTTGGATTTTCACCTAGTAACTAGCGTCTCCCGTTGTCTCTTTTTTTCTTTTTTTCTTCCACTTTGAAGGATGGATTGGGTCCGGAATTGTCATATCTAGATAGCCTTTACCATCGCGGAGTCGGGAGTTTCTAGATTTGTTATTTTTGTGTTGTGGTCAGTGTTCTTATTTGTGTGTCCGACTTCAATTAATTGGCTCAGATGGTGGCGTTAGCAAAGCTTGTTGGTGGTCGGGGAAGTCATTTGTTTATCGTAGGGGTGAACATGGTTGGGTACGGTTTGGAGATTGATAAATCTCTGGAATCGTACCATAATTTGGAGATCAATAAATTCGATCTCATGAACCATACCAAATATCGTGACGGCTCGGTTCAGTATTCGGGACTATTGGAATGGTTTTGTTCGGTATGGTTCGAATCGAATCTTTGGAGATTTCTTATTTTCTTAAATGTACCTAATTATATTTAATTTATATATGATTTAAAAAACAACATTCATCAATACTTCATCATATTGAATATTTTATTTTGAAATCAAATTTAAAAGTTACTCTAAATTTTAGTTATATAATTTTTATATGCTTTAAAAAAACCAACATTCATCAATATTTACTATGTTTTTAAATCAACTTTAGAAATAATGAAAAAATATTTTTTAACCTTTCTATTGAACAAATAATGATTGCAATTAATTAATGAGGAGTCTCCCACTAATAGCACAAAAACCTCCATATTATGGGTACATTCTGTGTAAGCTTCCCAGAAATGAATTCATATTTGAAATAAATTAAAATAAATATAAAAATTGAAAAACTCAATAGCTTTCAGGTATCGTGGATTCACAGTACATAATCATATCCAGAGAAATACTCCCCTACCCACAGTGGGCACATGTTAATATGTTCACCGCTTATGTGTCATGCACACATTGGTGATATATTTTTTTAAACATATTAACATCACCAATGTGTACATGCTACGTAAGCGGTGGACATATTAACATGTGTCCACCGTGGATAGGGAGCATTATCTATCATATCCAAGCCCCACAGTGAGCGGTTAACAAAAACACAAGATAAAAGAGCCTCTGAGACATACAAAGAGTAGCAAGCCCTTGAGACTACAACTCAACAACAGAATTCAAAAGAGTAACTTTAGTTTGACCTCTAAATCACCATTCACAAATT